CCATTTAAATTAGAAAAAGTTACTTGATCTATCAAATATTTGCCCAAAAAAAGCAAACAAACAAGGTTAATCCATACTGAAAATTATAGTAAATTGCAGCCCGAAACAGACGAGGTAAGAATACGAATACACTTCTGCGATAAGCTTTGCTTTCTCAATTATTCTGGGACATCTAATTAATCATTCCAGAATAACATGCACAACAAAGTGTGTGTGTGTCAGTGTGTGAGTGTGTGTGTACGTATGAGAACTAAAAACGACTCAATATCCTGCGGCGCTGCACGTATTGCTGCACTGTAGGTGGCTGTTTCCTGTTTTGCCGTGTCATTAGTTTGTTATCAGCGACTGGCTTACAGGTGACTCATGCACACAATGAACAATGACACCATATGTGACCTGCTCCATCTAAATCAGTCGCATTGACCCGAAGACACATTTTGAGTTGTATACACTGCTGGAAAGAGGAGATTCCTAGCTTTCTAATGATATCAGGATTGTTGTTGTACTCCAAATATTAAGCAAAATATGTCACATTATATAATGACTGTTACCGAGTCATCATTTTGAGAAAAAGGCCTTCAAAGTTTTCTCTTCTCTGGAATCCATCGATCTGATTGATTATTAGCAAATTATCAAAATACTACGGAGGGAAGATATTTTCGTTTGGATTACTGGTCTGGGGGAAGCTCGAGTGTGTGTGTGTGTGTGTGTGTGTGGGTGTGTGGTGTGTGTGTGTGTGTGTGTGTGTGTGTGTGTGTGTGTGTGTGTGTGTGTGTGTGTGTGTGTGTGTGTGTGTGTGTGTGTGTGTGTGTGTGTGTGTGTGTTGTGTGTGTGTGTGTGTGTGTGTGTGTGTGTGTGTGTGTGTGTGTATGTGTGTGTGTGTGTGGTGTTGTGTGTGTGTTTGTGTAATTTTGCATTTGTGTGTATTGTGTTTGTTTCCCGGGGAAAAGCCTCACGAGAAACACCGGCTGTTGTTATGCCTGCTGTGACGTAAAGTTACTCCGTTCTCCGCTTGTAATTATGCTGTTACAAGCTTCAAAGTTGTATTTATCATCTGAATTTGCTGAAACAAGTTTAATATTCTGAAAGCCAATACTTTGTTTAATTGAAATCAGATGAAAACAAACTGTAACGGACCCTGCCGTGTTATTTATGATTACTATACGCGTACATTCATAATGTCAACCGGAGGGAGGGGGGGCGGCGCTGCGGAAGAGCAGATTGCGAGTGAGAGGTGCCTGTCTTCGTCCCCTTTACAAGCTTCAAAAATGTATTTATCATGTGATTTTGGAAATAAAAGTTTCATATTCTGAAAGCCAAGACTTTGTTTGTTTAAAATCAAACAAAACACCTGAACCCCGAACAAATTGTTTTTTACGCAAATCCACGTTTATTTTGAAATGAGCCGTTGCGACTTCCGACTGATTTCGATAGAGCGGGTCACATATATCAAGCGGTCGCCTGGCGACCAGCATAGCTCAGGCTGACAGTGCAGAAAGACGAGGCTGTTAGAAATCTTGGAAAAGACCGGAAGCTGTGGGGAGCATCGTTTTACCGAGCGTTCTTTTAAAAACTCCACAAGGCATCAAAAGTTACAAAAAAGTGCATCTTAGAAACTAGGGGAGTCTGTCCTTGCTTTAATAGGCGCTTTCACACCGGAGTACTTTTCCCAGGAATAGTTTGGATAGCTCCTGGGATTTTGCGTTCACACCAAAAAGATCTGGAAGTAGAACATTTTGCCCCTTTTTAGTCCCTGCTAGAGAGCAAGGACTTTCCTGGGGAGAAAAAGGTTCCAATTTCTGATTGGCTGGGCGAATTGCAAACCACGCCCTGTAAAACTCTGAAAAGTTTTTGTGAAGCCGCCATTTTATTTGCTCGCATTAGCATTATTAACATTAGCATTAGCCCAGCGCACCAACGGAAAGAGACTAACTTATGGCAACACAAAAGAGAACATGGGAGCGGTGGAGTGATGAGGAGGTGTCGGCGCTTCTGGCGATTTACTCGGAAGGCTTCAGAAGCTGCTGGGAAGACTCCCAGCAGCTTCTATTGAAGCCAGTCCCCAAACTCCAGGGGACTTCCGGCCGGGGATTTCGGGTGGCAGTATACGCCGTGAAGTTGTTGCGGCCTGCCAGTAAACCCAAAGCAGAAGAAGAAGTGACGTCAGCAGCTCCCTCAGGGACTTATTCCGGTGTGAACGTGATTTACTAGATAGTTCCAGGAAATAAAAGTCCTGGGAACTATTCCTGGGAAAAGTACTTGGTGTGAAAGCGCCTATTATCCCTGAAATACTTTGGAAAAGCAGAGAAAGTGTTACTCGCTGCAGCCAAAAGCATTGTCAGAGTTTGAGAAAGAAAACCAGAACACCTTTCTGTGTCAAGCCTTTAACAGAAGAAAGGACAGCTAGACTTGACGCGTGGAAAGGCATTCAAAATCTATTCATCATCATAAGTTAAGAGAAAACATTTGTCTGTGAAAAATGTATTTTCATGCCTATTCAACAGCTGAAATATGTCTTTACCATGCTTTGTCTGCAAACAGCTCCCAAGAACTTTCTTGGGCTGCTTTCAGCTTTCAGGGAGCGACATCTTTTATTTGTCATACTAAAACATCTCTATAAATGTTTCTTCATTCCTGTATGAATCAAGATCATGATAGCCTTTCAAAATGTTTTGGTTAAACAGCACAAATGGGACCAGTCTTGTTGGAATGAGTGATGTATTTTAATGTTGTAGTCATAACACTAAGCAAGAGATGTTTCTGTGTGTCCAAATCAAGTATAAACCAATACAATTGTCTTTTTTTATTTATTTTTCCCAATTTTTCCTGAAATTATAAATAATAAAATATAGTGGATAAAATAATAATGGTGCTCTTTAAGCATATTTGTTTTCCTTTGTTACACGAGTCTGTCAAGTAGAGTCAAAAAATACAAAACTTAACAGTCAGATCCTTTTAAATCAATATGATAGCCATCTTCAGTCAAACAGCTAAAATGTCTCTGCAAATAAATCGATCACTGTTCATTTGTTCAACAACTTTTGTGCACCACATGTAGTTTTTATCCTTTCCTGTTAAGGTCCTTACACACCAAACTGACACCAAAGAACAAGTCCCGACGTAACGTCGCTTCACGTCGCCTCACGTCGCCTCACGTCTCCTTGGCCATGTTTCGCACTGGAACACACCGCAAAGACTTCAGCCGACGGCCAAGTTGCACATACGAACTGCGCATGCGTGAGTGGCAATAACTCTCCTTACCAGCAGGCGGCGGTAGTGTGCATTCATCATTCAAAAGAGGCAACAACCAGAAGACAGACTGCGTGATACACCGAGAGAAGAAGAACAGACTGTGTGATATAAACAAACAACAAATAGCGTCTGCGTTCCATTTTCACTCTGCGAGAAGCTCATGGGGCTTTCCCGAACCTGTGTCGAGAGTTGGAGTTAAATGACATCCCAGATGTTTTAATAGTTTGTCTGGGTCCCTCACTTCCGTTTCGCTTCTCATGCACTGATTCGCTAAGCTGAACAGCCAATCAGAGTGATTTATTTGGCCGACGGCCTCCCGATTCAACATATCGAATCGGTGGCGGAATGTGTCGGCACGTCCGAAAAGACACGACGGTGCAGTACACACCAAGACACACCAATCTGTGTAGGGCGACACGACGCTCATCGACGGCCCGACATCTAACGACGCCGAAAATCGGCTTGGTGTGTAACGACCTTTAAGTTAAAGTTTGGATAAGTGCCAACCCAAGTAAAACAAATGCCTTCATCGCTCCCATGCTGTCCAGAGTGACCTCTCTTCCAAGCTAGATACCTGTGGTTTCCCTCTATTGTGTTGTCAAGCCAGTGTTGAACCATTATCACACTAAAGGAGCCAAAAAAAAGCATTTTTTCCTGCCAACAACCACAGCTGCCAAGGCAGCAACACTGGGAGGTCCATTTTATAGAAGCGAGTTACTTCTGTGAAAAGGGCAATAAGAACATTTTGCACCTTGTGCTCAGCTGTGTGAGAACACATGTATCTGAGAGTGGGATTCCTGTTGGAATTAACTTTCAGACAACGACATGCAGATACAGACAACGACTGGCCTTTTCAATAAGCTAAGGTGAACGTTAAAGATGGAAGTTATTTGCACTCAAAATCCTCTAAAATTGTGGGCTGTAAAGACATGCGCCTGTGTGCCTTTGAGGGTGGTTTTGAAGGTATCATCGGTTAATCATAGCACACCTACAAGTTCATCACCATAATCCTCAAATACCTCTACACACCACTGGCACAGCCTATTAGGTTGCTAAACCAACTGCTGCCAAGCTGACAGACACACTGATTAAGATTAAGTCTGGTTTCTGGAGCTGAAAAAGCTGTAAATCTTACATTTACACAGCAGAAAGAGGGAGAGGGGTGGGGGAGAAAGATCACACTCCATTGCATTGCTTCAAAGGAAACTTCAAAACAGTGACAGGGCACATGGGAGACCAAGCCTCCCAGCAGGTCATGCCAAAATAAGCCTGGACAGAACAAAGTCTGCACGTTTAGACTCCAAGGTGCTTTCATAACTGGCAATCTATTTCTGAATGATACCACCGTAGTTAGTGAGTGAAATAGTCTTTTTCACACCACGTTACGCCTCGAATTGGTAATTTGTTAAGCTATTCTCTCTGGCTTCAGTGGGAAAGGTCACCAAGTTAATGCAATAATGTTTATATTCCACAATGTTCTCTATCAGAGGAAGTGTGAAACTAAAGTAATAATGTAATAATTAACTCAATCGGCTCAAATTCCCAAAGTCTTCCATCATAATTAACTTCACAAGGAAGGACAGATGACAGTTGAAAAGTTGACACTTCTTGACAGCTTGCTGTTTGGTCATTCATACACATGCCGAATACAGTAGTGGACAAGTGTTCATCTTAAACATTTATTGTGGTATCCTACCAGTCATGTTTATTGGATATTAATGAATATAATAGGAAATAAATGCACTAACCCGTATTCTTCTCATCGCAGCCACTATCTCCACTCGGCTGCTCGGCCGCGTCACATCCAGACTGCCGATGTACTGTTGCCGGGAAGGTGAAATATGACAGGTACAACACATTAATGAAACCATAGTTGGCATTCACCTGTATTTTATTCACTCAAACAGTTCAAGTGTCCACTTTATGTCATAAATAACTCAACTTAAGTCTCTCAACTAGCTAACAATTTACTTTAGGTAGGTTAGCTAACTTTAGTTAGCCGACATCTCTTGGAGTGGATTTACTAAGGCGACTCACTTTATATGACTAAGCTTTAGCAGTTTAAATACCTTCACAGAGTACTACAGTGGGGGCTGTTTGGACAGGTTGGCTAACAAAGACAACAAAAACATATTCGAGACGCTATCATAACAATTCCCAGTTGTTAGTGCATTTACCTTTGCCTCGAAGTTGATCCCATGCTGGAACGCTTCCTCGTTGTGCAAAGGGATCCTCAAATCATGCCCATCATCAACGAGGTTGTACTTGGTTTTTGCAGGCATTTTGAAAGTATTCACCACTCCACACTGACAGTAAAACCAGGATAAAATGAACGGGAAACTAACCGGGTCTGTTAAACGGGGAGTAATCCAAGAAAAATTTAAAAAATCCAAATCCGGTTAGTGCATGCTCTCCATCGCAGCGAACCGTCCCAGCGCTGGCACGTTACACCGCCCACAACAGCGGCCAAGTGGCGATAACTCCTCCAGCAGCGCTCCGGCGCACCGCTCCCCTGCTAAAATTCACCGGAACAGCTTTAAAAATACATGCAGAAATGCAGAAACAGCGACATGCGGGGACAGATGTGTTTTCCCGACTTTTCCTGTGTGCGTGTGGAAGTTGGTTGGGTCCTGCCAGGGCTCCCCCACGCGCACAGAGGGAGGATGTGATTGGAGGAGGCCGGGGATCCCACCTGCTTCCATTGGAACAGAGGCGTACCGTGGCTCCGAGGAGGAGGGGCTCAAAGGCTGGTACCTGCCCCCTCCCTTCCCTCCACAAACACACACACACACTTGGGAATAACCTGAATGTCCCTAATGCAAACAAAGGAGTGGTGTAGTAGGCGACAGTATATAAATACATATCTTTATACTTTGGCTTTGTTATTAACAGATGTAATACAGCTGTTTTTTATGCAGAGTATGTACACTAGAAATAATAGCAGCTCGCAAATCCAAGAGGAATTGTATGTCCTTTGTGGGTTAATATGCAAATGTAAGAAATGGTAAAATATACTGACTGTAAGATAAGATGATAATGTATGGGAATCAAACTTATTGTGTTATAATGAGGATAAGACATGTTAAAATTGATTTACAGATGTGGCTGATGTGTAGTAAATAAAAACCGTTGCCTATGAATGACATAAAAAAGAGCAAGGCTGCCAGCTAGTGGCCACATCTGCAAGAAAATAATAGAGATATCGTTAAAAATAAATGCTAAGAATAAGATGTGATGTGATTTATTTCTATAATTGTTTTCCTCATATGTATGCAAAAATAAACAACTATGAATGCATGAATTGTTAAACTCAAGGCTTGTATACTGTACATTATGTATGAATAACTCAATGCTCATGAGATAAGAGCACAAAACCTATTTGGCAGAATGTTACTTTTTTTTACATGTTTTAAAGCAACATTGTCTCTAATGTTTCATTTTTCTTGTTTTTTACATACACATTCATTAGTGAATATTAATGTTATATAAATGTTCCTTAAACATCTTAATTTTGTTCCATGTATTTTTGTTTTTGTATCATTATTGAACATGCTGCTTTGATAATCACAAGTGAGGGAAGACTGAGAAACACAACACCTAAAGCCTCCCTTTTTAGGGTTTCAATGGAGTGTGCTCACCTTAATGTTAAAATGAAAACTGTATTGATAAAAAATCAAGGACATCTATTCAGAACAAGCACTTGAACAAAGAAAACTTCAGATCCTGAAAAAAAAGTATGCTTAAAAAAAATCACAGATTAATAGATGAGCTATGTCTTCAACCTTCTGTAAGTTCAGTTACATCAAAAGAGAAATTAGAGGTTCATAATTACAGTAATAAGGGTCAAAACATATTTAAAATGCCGAACAATGCTGCAAAAAGAGGCTTTAGTCTATAGCTCAAATATAATCAGCCATAACACAATGTGATTAATTTAAATTATGTATATAATGATAATATTTGTAGCTGATAATTCAAAGAAGGTTCTTTCCATTTGCACCATCAACACAGTCTGTTTTATAAGCATCTGGACAAACAAGAGAGATGTTCCAGTAATATTTGGTCAGCAGACAAAGCAGAGGTTCATATTTAATGCAGTAATCATGTTGTATAATGCACACACCATCTGTGTCACCCTGGGAGTAGGGATGCTGCTCTCCCCTTAAGGTGGTCCCAGGCGTGGAGAGAAGGGGAAGTGGGGCAGCAGTAATTCACATTCTCACCACTTCTTTGGAAATATATAGTGAACTGCTGCTAATGGTGTCCTGCAGGCTTATACAGGAGGAGGATGTTGCATGCTGGATTTTCTGGATGTAATGGATTTAAAACTGGCTTTAAAATGCACCACTTTCACCCTCTGTCTGAAACCAAAGCCTAGTCTGCTCTGATTGGTTTGCTGATAAGCTCTGTTGTCATTGGTTTACCGCTTAGAGCTGACCCGCCCCTTAGCCTATCACATACAATGTGTTGGAGCACTAGCCAATAGAAGCGCGAGTGTAACATAGTGATGTCACAATTTTACGGAAGTAAACAAAGGAATCTAATCGAGGTGTTTCAGGCAGTCAAGGAGCATGGGAGAGAAACTCCCTCTAGAGGGAACTTGATTTTAGCCTCTGCAGATCATTAACTACAAGAAAGGGAAACCTCCAAAAAAGCATAATATGGCCTCTTTAACATCATGATTCATAAAAATCAATTCCCACATTTGATCTTTTTTTTTTAATAATTTAAATATGAGATCATGTTACATTTTTAAACGAGTGAGCTTTTAAGTAGCTGTTGATAATGAGGCTGATACAACACTTTATTGCTATACTATTGCCATTGTTTTCTATTTTCAGTATTTTCAAGGAAAAAAGGTATTATTACTGAATACAACTATTCCCCTCTCTTGGACCCATGTTGTGCTCATTAAGACTCTTTACAAAGGATAGAGAGCCTCTAAATCCCTGCCAGGTTTTTTAAATGTTGATCTTTTAATAAGGGCTTTGGCTTTTTAAAACATATGCTCCTGACATGAAGTAGATTTTAGAGATCATTGCACAAAGTCTCCATGGTTCCACTTAAAAGCCAAAAGGTCACATGATAGGACTTCACAGCCGCACAGCAAAAAATAGGCTGGTCTGCAGAGAACTGACTGAATTGGTGAGCTATACCACAAAAGAAACCTGTGTGTTGCCATGTAGTTGAGTCTGTGGAGGAATAGCAGTAATCATACATAAGACACTGTGCTTGTTACAGGTATAATCCAATGCTTTCCTTCTAGTGAAGATATGGTCAAATAGGAACTGAGGTGAGCTGTTTAGGCTTGACTTTGTTGACCTGTAATGGGTGTACACCAACTCTTGCCCAATGCACAAGCTCCAGCTTCCCAAACTAAATGGTTAGAAAATCAATGGATAACGTCAGTTTTAAAGGTAATGTTCATGTGTTTGTGTTTGCGGGGATCATAATCCCAATGTGGGAGAAATTATAAGACTATAAAGGTTCCATGGTATGTAACAATTGGAGATTGGAGCCACCATGCCATCCCCAATGGTGTGTGGACTATGGTTTTTGTATATTTGACAGTCACCATCTTATTTGTTTGGAACCAGAAGTATTAACAAGAGGACGAGAAGGTGCATGACTGAATGCTAGGTGACAAAAGTCTAACTTTTTCAGTCAAAAACTAAACTTTTCTAAAAATCCTCTCTTCAGTGGATTAATGGGAACACACTGGCGGCGTGTTTCAGTGTGAAACAGAACTAGTTTTCTTTTGGTGCCAACACCATTCATTGTGAGGTCAGTGTGTCAGCAGGAGCCCTGAAGCTTGGTTACTCTCTCTATATCAGCCACTAGCAACAACAAGCATACACACACAATCGACTGTGTGTGTGTAAAGACTGCCCGGGCCCACATATGCACACATCAATGGACACACACACGGAGCTTAACACATCTTGAGGGCCTCTTAAGATTAATTAATAATGGCGATTTCAAAGAATTTGGGGCAACGCGAGGAGTAGATCCACTTCTAGGACAGTTTCAGAGAGGAAGACAGACAAGTAGGGAACAAATGATGACAACAATGACACAACATTGCTAATTGTGCCTGAAGCTGTGTTACAACATTTACAGAGAAAACGCAGCTCACACTCAGGTAGATTAGGACAGAAAAAAAATCTGCGTCTGATACACAAAAAAGGACTTGGCATCCGACAAAATCCATTATCTGCGTACAATCAAGGCTCTTACATCCCAGCGTTAATCAAATAATTTGCTCAGACTGCAGTCAAATGTTTGGGTGGGCACTGAAAGGAAAGTTGGGTGAAGCTTAGTATCTTTTCCCCTATAGTTATGCACTTAACGCAGTGTTTGAATGGCTTAGATATTTGGTAAAGAGGATTCCTACAAAGAAATGTTTGGTTCAATTAGGCTTTCAATCCTTCAGCGACTCAAGCAATTACTTTTTAGAAGTTGCATAATGTCTACCAAGTCGATCGTCATCCTCTTTGTTTAGCACGTTGGCATGGAAACATTTCTAAACACGCAATAAACAGAAAGTACATCAGGGGCTGATGTGATTGTCATTTAGCCATAAACCAAAGGAGTAGGATTAAATAAGTGTATAAATAAACACAGAAATAAGTTACTAATAAAAGAAAAAGAAAAAAAATACAGGAGTACATATAAAAGAGTAATCAAATGCAGTACTAAATAAATAATTGAAAATCGGTAAATAAATACATGCTGAAATAAATATAAATATGAAAATGAATAAATAACATTATGAACACAAAAATAAAAGTTTAAAATAAAACATAAACAGATACATATATATTTGATTTATAATTACATTTACATGTATCACTTAAATGTATTTTTTTCACATGTATATTTTATTCGATGATGTGGGCGGTCCTAACCTCATTCTGAAACTGATTGATTTCGCTCCTCTACTTCTTCCTGGCTAACAATGCTTCGCCAGTCACAAACAATAAAAAGCATCAATTACAAGAATAGCATTAGCAATATATATTTGTAATATTGCAGATCCTTTCCACTTTGTATGTTGCCTTTGTTCAACCTCTTTTCCAGCGATAGTCTTTCTCTTTCTGGAATGATCTTGGTCCATACCAAAGGTCCCCTATTATACTTTTTTTTCATAAATATATAGTTCTCATTTATATACAAAACTTGTCTCTGAATTATTTGGCTCGAAATACCAAACAGATCATACATTGCAGCATCCCATAAACCCCTCTGTTTCAGCCCTGTTTCAAAAGGGCTGATTCTGGGTCTGTAGCTTTAGATGAAAATAAGGTGCCACTCTCAACGCCCCTCTGCAAGATATTTGGTTTCTCTAGGAGGAGATTCAGGTGATAAGGTGGGGGGGCTTACCTTGGTTGGTTATTGGCTAATGGTTACACAAGCCAAAACATCGTTATGACATCATAAAGTGGCCAAAATCTGATCAGCTAATTTCAGAGAGGTTTTTATAGAAATGGATCAAGACAAAAATTGAGCGAATCTTTTTCCTGAAACTTTCCGAATATCTTTACGGAGAGGGGACACATGTTTATGTATAAAAGACATAAAAAAGTGGAATTTGCATAATAGGTGATCTTTAAGAAAGCTCTTGTTGGCAACCAGGGAT